TATATGGTGCAGAGGCTTGGACGATGACAACAACTGATGAGTCGACGGTGCGAGTTTTCGAGAGAAAAGTTCTGCGAAAGATTTATGGTCCGATGGAATGATGAGCTGTACGAGATATACGACGATATTGACATAGTTCAGCGAATTAAAAGACAGCGGCTACGCTGGCTCGGTCATGTTGTCCGGATGGACGAAAACGCTCCAGCTCTGAAAGTATTCGACGCAGTACCCGCCGGGGGAAGCAGAGGAAGAGGAAGACTTGGAAGGACCAAGTGGAGAAGGACCTGGCTTCACTTGGAATACGTAGCGAAAAGAAGAAACGACTGGCGCGCTGTTGTTAACTCGGCTATAATCGCGTAAGCGGTGTCTACGCCAATCAAGAAGAAGAAGAAGCATTTGACGATTGGCCCCCACAAATTGAGTCCAATTATCACTATATAAGGTGGTACAGATACCCCGTCGACTTATGAAACGATCGTAAACATCTATAAATGCCTATGTACTCAAGTCCTCTGCCAGCTCAATGTGTACCGCTCGTGACGCCATGGAAATAAATATGGCAGCATAAGTTTTTGTAGTCGGGGTGGCGCGATGCGTTCCCACACGAACAYGGAATGGCCCGCAGTAATCCAAGCTACTACGAGAGAATGGTGGAGCCACTAGTACACGCTCTTTCGTTAGCTGAGCCATTTGTTGACGTTGTACGATGAAAGACTTTACTTGCGCCCGTGCGCCTATAAGCCAGAAACGTTGTCTAACTGAAGCTTTTGCTATATTCCACCATGTAAGCAACGTGTATGAGCATCAGCGACTAGTAAATAAGCTAGAGTCCCACGCGGAATTATAATTTGATGTCGCTGATCTTCACTTAAGTCGGACTTTGTGAGTCGACCACCTACTCTCAGTATGCCGTCTGCATCCAAAAAAGGATTGAGTGCTAAGATTTCACTACGACCCGAAATTCTGGAATGCAATACAAGAGCCCTAATTTCTGGTTTAAAATGATTACCTTGTGTTTGTCAAACATGCAGAAGTAAATCCCAGTGCTGGTCTGCGACTGAAACTATATCGTTCCTGTAACCACGATATTTGGGTAACCAGCGCTTTAACCATACAGTGGTGTTAAGTAAGCTAGTCAATTTGCTAAATTTCTCTATGAGAGGTATCCTGTTGTCTTTCGTGGATGTCATAATCCACTKGTAATTAGCTCTGGAAACGAAGATTGGAAATCACACGAGACTCAGCAATGAAGAGGTGCTTCTCGTCTTCCGTTAAAGGAGGTAAACGCGTTTCCCCACGCCTTGATGAGTGCACGTAGGTCCGGTCCACCAAAGATGATGATCTGTTAAAGCGGCGGGGGAAAGACCTCTGCTTGCACAGTCGGCTGGATTAGATTTCGAACGAATGTTAGTTTTGGGGACTATCGAATAAAAACAATCAAGTTATTCGATAGTTCAGCAATTTTCATTCATTCGATAGTTTTCAAGAAATCACTCATTACTATTTTTTCGTTCATTCGAATTTTTTCGTTCATACCAATTTTTC